GGGGGGTCGGGCTAGAAGATCTACTAGGTCCCTTCCGACCCTTAATCTATGAATCTATGAATCTATGAAAAGTCCCTTTGCTGCTACAGAGTCTGGCTGATGTCAGCACCCACTGTTTTTCCCCCTAGAGACCAGCACCATGGATTATATGCAATGGTAAGAGCTTCCTGACATCTGGCCTGGCTGGATATGCATGCAAAAGTCAGGTCAAGCCATGGTGATGGGCACTGCTAGGCTGTTAATGGCTTTTTTCCTCTGAGGCTCTGCATCTTTTTCCCAAGAGCTGTGCTTTGACTCCATTTTAGACAGCCAGTTGAAGCCCTTCCCTCTCTTGTGATCTGTGCTCCTAGACTGTCCTAGCTTGGCTCATGCATTCCACTTAGGCCCTTTTCCTCCCAGAAAGATTCGTTGCATGCCTATGCAGAAGTACAGAGCAGACTTTGTCAGGCACAACTTTTCACCTGGACTGATCATGGGTAAATTAGCTGGAACTTCAACATCTCATAGGGATGGTTCCATACCTACACATGTACCAGTGAAAATAAGGGAAGAGTCCAGTTACACTAGCACTGTGAGCCCAGTGTGAGAGAGAAGATGCTGGAGCCTTGTTTGCTCCCCTCCTGAAATCATTCTCATTTTTTTATTGCAGGCTGACAATGGAAGACACAAAGCATAGCCTGGATCCAATCGCTGCTAGCGAAAAGGTCAGCAAAGCCTAAATCAGCATTTCGGCTTATCCCCAAGGTGACGAGACAGGCGGGCACCAAGGCTGATGCTTAAATAGGACTGAAAGACCAGGATGGGTGTCAAAGGCAAAGGAGGCTCCACCTCCTCTTAAGTCCCTTGTGTGGGGCAAATTAATGAGGAGCTATAAAGACTGGAGATGAGTGCTCCAGTTTATTAGATGAGAAGAGATTGCAGGAGGTCTGGAAGGAGACAAGAGAGAATGTTTAAACCCTTTTATCTGGCAGACAAAGGCTGTCAGGGTTACATGTTCCAACCTGCTCTGTGACACTGTGGATCATGTTAGACTTTGTGCTGGTTTAATTGGAGCTTTGCAGTTGCCCTTGGTCACCGCTAATTGTCTTAATTGAAATAGCGCGCATGTCTGTGTGTGTTTAAGAGGAAAATACAGGCTCAGCGTTTTCAGCCATTGTCCGACGGATTTGTGCTGAATTACATGATCACAGCAGCTGCCTGCTGTGCATTACAGAAGCTGCTTGGATTTATGGTGAACTTATAAAAACCAACTGTAGATCTCACTGAATGTGTTTGGCTACTTAGGAGGAGGAAAGAATAGAAAGAAAATGGAGAGACTGTTTTGTTTCATAACATTCATCATGAAGCTGGAGATATATCACTTCTCCCAGCCTTTCTTCTGCCCTTAACTTGTGTGTGTGAAGACAAGAGACTGAAGTGGACAGGCACCTAAAAGTGATACAGTAAAACTCTGTCCTCTTTGACTGGTTAGGGAAGAGGAGACATTAGGGTGGTAGGAACCTCAGAAATGAGGTAGTGAGAAAATCCATCAGATTTTCAGGTGGTAAA